CCGGTGAGGACAAGCTTAGAGAGAACAAAAAGGGCCCTTAGATTCCAGTTATCACACTGCCCTCCCGCTGCTGTTCACCACTGGAAACAACAACAACAACAAATAAAAACAAAAGCAACTAAAAATTGCTGCCACAGGAAATGCGTGACTGCGTCTCTCTACCTCTTCAGTTCGCATCCAAAGCGCCTGCGACCCCCAATGCTTTGCTAGTCTTTCCCTTGCACCCAGAGCCTGGTCTGATATACAGCAGGTGCATAATAAATACTGACCCAAGGAGTGATTTGGGCTTGGATGAATGAATGAGGAAATGGATTTCTAGATTTGATGAACTAACCTTGTAAAGGACCCTGGGCTGACTCCAGTAAATCAATCAATCACACAATTGGGTCAATAAAAGTTCTGTCCTCATTGGTCATTTTGTTATCATTAGAAAAACTGTCCATAAGTAGAATTAAACATTTGGATGTGTCTGTGGGTAAGAGTGGACTGTCCATCAAAATATTAAATTGAAGTTGAAATCCCAGTGACTCCTGAGGCTGAGGCAGGAAGAGCCCAAGTTCAAGGCCAGTCTCAGCAACTGCACGAGACCCTCCCTAAGCAATTTTGAGAGATCTTGTCTCAAAACAAAAAAATAAAAATGACTGGTGATGTGGTTCAGTGGTTAAGCATCTGTGGGTTCCATCCCCAGTATCCCAAATAAATAGATAAATAAATAGGACTGGGGATGTGGTTCAGTGGTAAAGTTTAATCCTCAGTACCAAAAATAAAAAATAAAAAAAATTTTGAAAATAATGTTTAACCTTTACATAATTCTAAAGATTGTTTAAAAGCAAACAGATTTTTAAAAACTCTTATTTCAAAGTTTCAATGAATAAAAAGTAAAACCAAATGAAATGCTAGAAAATAAATTTAAAAAATTGGATCTGAAGGCCAGAAAGCTACAGTGAAGAAGTGCAGAAGTTCAGGGTGTCCAGTCCTCCCTCAGGGCCACAGGCCAGCTGCACTAGGCCAGCCTTAAACACACCTGGGCACAGACATGTGCGTGCGTTCAGATAAACTCCTTGGCACGGGGCCACATCTGTTTTCCCAAACCATGTCTGTCACACCCCAGGTGAGGCTGTTATTAAACATTTGTTGAATGAATGGAACGGCTCTGGATTGCTGTGATTAGGCAGACAGGTGACCGCTCTCTGTCCATAGCGCCTGGAGATGAGGGTCACCACGGTGACCGTCCAGGCAGCGATGGCTCCCATTTTTCTGCTTTAGGAACACCTGCCTCTTATTCCAACTTGGAATGGTGGGAGGCATGCAGCCCTACACCCCTTCATTCACACAGGCGCTGATACAATCAGTGAGCCCCTCCCCAGCCGCGGCCCCCCCAGGGCCCAGCCGCCCCAGTTGTAGAATGCAAACATCTGGCGGCATCATTAAGGCGTTTCTATACAGCGCCACCCGAGGCCTGACCCTGGGACCATTTCCACCATTAGATTTGAATGACCTCAGCAGCAGGGCTGAAAGGCCCGAGTATTAATTCACAGAACCACAAGCTCAATTTAAGATTTAATTTGAGATAACGAAGAGCGACTGAAAGTGTATTCAAACTTCGCAGCGTGCAGTGAAAGGCCTCTCCCTGTTTCTCAAGTTGAATATGAATCCAGGATTTCGTTAACAGATTTATTCACAAATTTACCAACAACGTGAGGGCCCCTTTGCCTAGTCCCCCACTTGGCTTCTTAACAGAGTCTTTTGGGGATGTCTTAGTTAGTAACCCTTTCTTCCCCTTCCTGATTTACAAAAGGCTGCCCTGTAAGGATTGCCTTCCAATTAGATGACATTCCTGAAGAGGAAACAGGCTTCCCGAGGCGTCTCCCCCAGTGTCCCGTTCCCCTGGACTCCTTCTTCAATATGTCTGTCTGTGGAGTAGTGGCGGTGATGGTGAAGCATGCAACTCGGCCCTGCAGCGGGACTCTGCAGAAGAAAGTGTTGGAAGGAACCAAAAGCACGTGCTGCCTGTTTGGAACACTGTGCCTCTGGGTTCTAGTGAATATCTAGACTCTGAAGATTTTTATTCCTAAAACACTCCAAACTCTGATGGGAGGTGGGGATTTTAGTTGGTTCAAGCAGCCCTCCAGACTTCAGAGAGTTTGTTTTGATATCTAAAATTCCTGCTGAAGCTTGGTTTGGACTGATGGTTTCCTTTGGATTGAGGAGTCTGAATCTGTGCTGCTATCTACTGAGCACCTATTTTGTGCCCGGCACCATGCTGCATAGTGTTTTCTGCAGAGGCCAGAACTCAGGGTTACACATGGGAAAGAACACTCGTGCTATCAACTCAGCAATTCACATCAAAACTCACAGGGGCCCACTGCTGTTCTTGTTTCCTTAGCAGTTAGACATAAGCGGCTAGGGGATTGTGGGTCATCGAGCACCCTGAGAGCCTAAGGCACTGCCAGGCACATTGTAGTTGTCACGGGAATGGAGAGACTACAAGAAGAAAGTAAACAGTAAGAAAAACATCTTACTTACATTAGTTTGTTCCTTCTCTATTGCTGGGTCATCACTGCCATTTTATTAACACTGGTGCCAAATGAAGAAGAAAAAAAAATAAGTGCCCACTCCATCTCAGAATGCACAGGCCCAACGTTGAGTTCTACACTCACTGATGCCAAGGCCTAAACTCAGAATCCTCACCAGCAATGCCACAGAGATAGCTCTGTGGGTGGCCTGACTGCCAAGCTCGGCTCATTTCACCCAGGAACCTGATGCGGGTGAGAGGACAGAGAAAGGAGGGTGAGCCGCCAAGGCTGGCTGGTGGGCTGGGACTCAGGAGGAGACCCAGGGCCTTAGGGAAATGAACAGCGGAGCGCAGTGGGCCAAGTCCAGACCCAGGAGCTTCACCAACACAATTTCACTGAGTTTGCAAAAACAGACTTCCACTCTAGGGCTGAGCCCACCGAGGAGCAGAGAGATTAAGTGACTTCCCCAGGAACAATCCGCTAAGGAACCAGGATGTGAGCCAGCCTTCCCCAGCCTGCTCTTAACCCACACACATAACCTCCACTTCATACCTCCTCTCTCCAGGTTAATGGATTTCTGCCAATATTCTCACCTACACTTAAACAACCTTCGGAGTTAAGTAGCACTGGCTCCATTTCAGGGAAGAGAAGACAGAAGCCCCAGATGGTTACCGACTTGATCAAGGAAGCGAGTTCTGGGGGAGGAGACGGCCAGCGCTAAGCCCCACTTCTCCCTCCGCCCACTCTGCCTTTGCCCTCTTCCTTTCACAGGTGCAAACTCAAGGACACATCCTAAGGCATGCTCTGCACCATGAACTTCCCCTCCGAGTCACCTTGCTGGAAAGCCCAATGAGAACACTGCTCATTTCCAGGGAGAACTTGTAATGAGAACCCCTGGGGTGATCTCAGAGGGGAGCGAGCACCCCAGGGGTACAGGAAGGCTTAGACCCAGCCGAGGTCCTGGGATTTCAAGTGGAAACCTGAGAAGGCAGAGATAGCTCTTCTGAGCATGGCCAGTTCGCCTACACACCAGACTCATCCACAGCGCCCACGAGTGCGGGACTCGACTTAACAGGGGCTCAACTTGAACTACTTGTTGACATAATTAGTCCTGGCTCCAAGCAAGAGGTTCTGTAGCCAACTTGGCGTGGGATCCTGAGTTTTGATTGGCAAATTTGAAGCAAAGTTCAGCCAAGTTCTATATCTATTTTGTAGCGTGCCGTATGCACATCTAGAGGGGCCAAGTCTTCCGATAGATTTCCAGTTTTATGGTGGTTGGTAGCTGAAGATATTAGCTTTTTAAGGAGACAAATGCTTCTGGCAGGCCCATCTGCACTAGGGATAGGAGAAATGCCTTCGGGTTCCTCCAAAAATTAATGTAATAAGATGCATTAATCAGAATTCTATCAAATCTCTACACTTGGCCTGGGCTTACGAAGCAATACTTTGAAATTGCAGTTGGCTAAGCTTTCTTATTCTCTGAGAATGGGGGAAAAAATAGAACAGAGCGCATGTTTAAGAAAAACTGGCAACAGGAAAAAGGTTTAAGCAACTTTTAATTCCTTAGCTCCACTGGGGACTGCTGAGGGTTACGGAAGATGTGACCTTTGTATTTCCACAAACTTACTTCAGACTGTGGGATCAGAAACAGTTGGTGAGATCCTGAGCCAACATGGGGCTGGTGTGGGCAACGGCTCAGGCCTAAGGCATTTACTTGTTCATTTTGTCTAACAATAACTTCCTTCAGGACTTGCAGTGGGGTCTCAGCCATTTCTTGCCTTCAGATGTTGGTAACCAAGGTGAAAAGATGCACTGGAAGCTGAAGACGAGCTCATGGTCCGGAAGGACTTCTGACTTGAAGATGATCTCCTCCAGGAACCAAGAGATAGGGAGTCACACAATCAGCATGAATGCTGCCTCCTTCACAGTGACAGTGCTCTTTGAGATGACACTATGCATTTTAAAGTGACATAGCAATGCCCCAAACATCGCACTGCCATTTGGTCATGCTTTTAACATGACATAGCTACATCTGTATTTACTATTAAAACTCAGTACCCAGGAGATGCATTTTTTTTTTTTTTAAGACAAAGGGCCAAGCTTTGGTGGAAACACTTTTCCCCCTTGTATCAAAAAAAAAAAAAAAAAAGTGGCTCCTTCTTGTCTGGTAGGCTTCAGTAATTGGCAGGATTTTGAGTAAGCTCTTTTAAGAGCTCTCCGTTTCTATTTTCACATTAAACACACTTGCAATATCTATTAAAAGCACAAATACTGAGGAACACACCAAGACTATCAATGAGCTTACATGTGGAGCCTTCGAGAAGTCAGGAGAAGTGGAGAGAATATTTGTGCAGTTTTATTTCTTGGGACTCAAACGTTGAAAGGAAAAAGGTTACCCTCTGGACTCCTATACCTGCCCTGTGTCAGGGGCCTTTGACATCACCTCTGCATCTGAGGGTTTATCAGAAGGGGTCAAGTTCAGGGTTTGACTGAAACAACAAGCCCTGGACTTTGCCTTCGTTTCCAGGAGCGTTTATTGATACGCTCGAGCCTTGGGAGAGCCCAGGGGGGAGACAGATATTTCTGCCATGTTTTGGCTGGGACCTCTCAGCTTTACAGTCCCAGGATGACTGAGCAGCACAGCAGGAAGGACACACAAGGTCACCTGGGAACATCTGAGAGAGAGCAGGGCCACTGAGCAGGTTTGGGAGAGAGCCTCGGGCCCTGAAGATACCTTGGAAATCATTCTCAAGGTCACATTCGGACAGACAGCACCAGGTATGTGAGCGTGGACCCACAGGCAGCCGGGCAGCAAGACAAGGGCCACTGAAGCACTGGCAGAGGGTCTGCGTGCAACTGCCCTTGGCCTCAGACAGACTCACTGCACTTCCAAAGCTCTTTCACTTCTTTCCAAAAATCTTAAAAGGACAGGAAGGAAAAGAAGGATCAAAACCCAGGGGAAGAAAAGAGAGCTATAACTCAGCTGAAGTCTCTCCCAGAGCTTCCCCTGTTCCCATAAATGTGTGTTTTGGATGAAAGTTTGTGCTCTGGGCAAGGAGAGGATCACAATCTGAGATTTCACACTGTATCTGTTGGTCAGCATCCTGGCAAGAGGCCGACAGTACACTCAAAACGGGTAATGCGAGCAGCATTTAATAGAGCCACTGTTTTCAGGGATCCCTGCAGGGTTTAAGGAATCTGGAGGCTTGAGGCAGTGTCCTGGGGTTAACAGCAGGGACCCATCTGCCCTTGCCAGCTGCACGGAGGGGACCTGGTACAGAGGAAGGGGCTTCACCCTACCCTGAAGGGAACATGTCTGGGCACTGAGTAGCCTGACCTTGTTTTGCTCAGAATTCCAGTTGGCATGGACTATTGCTCAATCCAACCTGAGAAAGAGAGGGCAAGAGAGCCCGTTGAAGATGGGCCCCTGGGGCAGGGCTAGAGGCTAGAGATCTTGCGGTGCATAGATCCTACAGGGGGTTTGTGAAGATGCATGAGCTCTAATGTTTTATACTGGCATCTCATGTCAGGAGGTATTTGAAGGCAGAACTTTTCCCAGAAAAGATGTGCTTTGGACACCCCTAGCCCAGACATACCCTCTGGCCCTTCCCAGGTCTAAGGTGGATGACTTCTTAGAAAGAGCAGGTGTAATTCACAAAACTATAAACGTGCGCGAAGGGCACTGGAGCTGTGTCCAGCCCTCGCTGTGCTCCTCTGGGCCTGTGCTGTGTGCAGAGCCAGCCTCGGAAACAGAGGCTTATTTAATTTTTTTTCAAGACAGGCCACCTTGGGGTAGTTTTATCTAACAGCAGGCATAACGGACCTAAGGGCTAAAGGAAACCTCTCCTAGTTTTTGAATATAACTCATTTGAATGAACATGGACAAATGTGATTATTTTTTTCAAGAGTTTTAAGAAAAAGGAGACATTTCATGCACAGGATAAAAAAGAAGAAGAGGAACAGGGCAAATAAAACTCCCGCAGGACGCATGCTCAGGGTCACCACGCGGAAGCCCGTTGTGCCGAGATTCTCTAGGACAAAGGGAGAGAACAGCTTCTTGGAAAGGGAAGCAGAGGCCACGGCTGGGCACGGTCCTGCTGTGAGGCGCTGGAGATCGGAGCCTGGGTGCCCGGTGCCAGGCAGTGTTAATAGTGCAGGTCTTCAAGCAAGAAGGTGAAAAGGAAAACTCACACAAGTCACAGCGGGTGTCGTAAACCCAGAGAGGTAAGATCGCCTGCAGGATTGGGGGTGGGGAGGCTGCCTCTGGAAGGTTCCGATCCTCCCCGTTTTCTAATGTAGATTAATGGCTTGCTCAGTCGAGCAGCCACAAACTTGCTAAATGTGCTGACCGCTTGAAATTAGCAAAGGTGGCGGCCAAGGAAGGACGGAAGACATAAAACGAGCTGAATCCGAGTGGGCCTCACTCACTACGGCCTGAGATATGACAAACAAAATGAGCACCGACAGAGAGCGCGCAACAGGTCTCGGGAGGCTGAAAACAAACCCAGGATGAGTTACAACTCCTCACTCCATCTCGGAGGAGGGCTTGGCTGTGGGGATGAGACCTTGGGATCCCAACAGGTGCCTTCTGAAGACGCACACATGTTCTGGAGCTCGAGCACGCACACACGTGTCCCCATGAGCCTGCCTGCACACACGTGTGTTCCTGAAAGCCCCAGCGTGGGGGAACCACATGGGCATAATTGCATCAGTTTCTGATCAGGACAAAATGTGTTTCCCCGGAATCAAGAGATGACCATGGGCACTGGCACGACTCAGCCGGAGTGTGTTACTCCGTCCTGGCCACCACCCCCTAAGAGCATGAGTAGCCCATGCTTGAAAGGTATTAGGAAAAGCACCGTAGCGCTGTGCACCTACAGCCTAGCAGGGAAGGAAAGGGAAAGGAGCCCGAGGAAAAGGAATCAGAGGGAAGGTCTTGAGGGCCTCAGACATCTCCAGGAGCTGGGAGCCTCCCAGGCAAGTTCTCAGTGAAACCGCTAAGAACCAGGGTCAATGCTGCAGGTCAGTTGGATGTACTGAATGCTCTCTTCTTAAAAACTATCAATATGGAAAAAAAAAAAAAAAAAGATCTGCATGTAAACATAAAAAACCTCACATGTTAGTATTTTCCTAAAACTAGATGGAAATCAGAATTTAGCACAGATTTATCTTAGTGGATTCTTTGGTTGTGTGTGAGACTCACAACAATATATTCTTATGTTTGATTTTAGTTTCCTATTTTTAAGACACATTCAAAATTGAATCAAAATCTTTTTAAAAAATGGGCAATTTTAAGCAAAGTCACGTGAAATCATAAGTATCTTGTATCTTTTTTTTTTTGAAATTTTTAAATTTATAAAACATTCATTCATACAGCCTGTGGCCCACTATTACTGATTCTGGAATAGACAGGGCTTGGATACAATTTTGTTTCACAAATCTTTTCAAGAAGTTGTTTGAAGTTACATGGGGTCATGATACCTGCTATTCCAAATCTACATAAATACCGGGGTGTCCTCACTCAGTGACACGAAGAGATGGCCTGTGGCTGGGCACTGACACCTCTGTGAAGTCCACACTCACCCAGTGGGCACTGCTTTAACATTCCCCAGTCCCTTCAGTGTCACCCTGCCTCCTTTGAAACTTGGCAGGAAGTTGCCATGTTGGGACACTCAAAGGATACCCAGCTCCTTCATCTGTGGCCTGGGCTGGTGCCTGATGTATGTTGGGCCCTTTGCTGGCTGGGGGCCTTGGGGTCCCCAAGATGATGAGACCCAGTCCTTTTAAAAAGCCCGATGGCTTTGATGAAGCGTATTGTGACATTTTATTGAATAAGCACTGCCTGTCAGGCACCACTCCTTTAAAAGCCCATTCACCCCTCAAAACCACCCCACCAGATAACTCTTATTATGGCCTCAAGTCAGAGGAGAAGATGAAGGCTTACCAAGCCTAAGACGCTTCAGCAAGAGTTATGAACAGAATGCTTGTTTCCTCCGGAGTCCAAATGTTCAAGCCCTAGGCCCAGTGTGAGGCGGTTAGGTTCAGATGAAGGGTCCCCGTGAGGGAATTAATGTCCTCATGAGAAGCGAAAGGGACATCAGGGCTTGCTGTGCGCCATGTGAAGACGTAGCAAGAACCTGGCTGTTTCTGAGCCAGGAAGAGGTTCCTCACCAGGAGCCCCATCTGCCCACGGCACCTGTGTCTTGGACTCACAGCCTCCAGAACCCTGAGAGATGCCTGTTGCTAAATTCACCCAGGCTCCAGCAGCCTGCACTGAATGACTACACTCAGTACATATGGAGGCAAGGTTCAAAGCCAGCTGCCCTGAATCAGCCTCCCGGGACAGCTCTAAGATGGTGAGACCTGTGTCAGGAGCGTGTGGAACAAGTGATTATATGAGACGTCACCCATTCTGGTTGGTTGGTATCTACTATTACCAAAAAAATGGCAGTCACCCCACAGAGAGGCCAATGGCAAACAGATGCTTCTAACTCAGCCTTGGACGGCAAGGGGGTGAAGAGAGCTAGATGAGAGGCAGGTGTGCCCACAAGCAGCCCAGAGAAGAGAAGTCCAGGCAGAGGGCATATCTGAGCAATCGTGTGGAGGAGGAAAGAGCAGAATGCAGACGTTAGGTACCTGTAATCAGTTCTGACCCACTGTGAGAACTGGAGGAGGTGGATAGGAGAGCTTCAAGAGGAAGCTGAATTACCTGAGCATTAGTTTGCATCGAATCTAGGAACTATTAGATATTCAGTTGCAAGTGCTGCATCGAGTTTCCTTGAGGTCAGTCAACATTTATTAAGCACTCTAGATGGCCTTTGAGAGATTATAAAGTGAGCATGGGGTTTACGGTCTAACTGGAGGATTGGTAGCTGCAAAACCAAGAAAAATTGGTAGAAACAGATACACGTCAGCCTTAGGCTATTTGAAAACCTTTAAAACTCTCAGACATGTCTGAAGGCCACATTTATCAAACCCATGTAGACCCAGAGTGCCCACCCTTCCCTGTGGTCTCAGGCTCCTGATTCAAGCAAGATGACAACAATCTCTCTTTGGACTCCTGTCCCTGGGGTACCTCCAACACCAATTTTTCTAATATCATCCTTACTTTCTCCAAAGCTCATCTCCTATGTTAGGCTGGGGCCTGGAGAAAAGGAGGATTTGCCACATGGAACTATAGCCAATAGTCAAAATCCCTGGAAAGGATTGGTGCTGAGTGTCTTATCCATACCTTTCTACCATGCTCTGTGTTTTAGGGGATGGGAGTGACCTGGATAGACTTCATCAATGGGCTCTCTTGGTCTTCAGCTTCCAGTTAGATTAAGCCAATGGGAGACAAGAGCAAGAGGCCCAAGGTGGGCAGGTATGTTGCCCTGGTTCTCTCCTGGCAGGCTTGCATGGAGCTGGCGGTGACCCCCAACTAAGGTTCCATTGCCTCTCAAGATGGTCACCTCTATACCACAGTGTCCTTCTTCAAGTCCCATCCTCAGGGGTCCAGGAACTGCTCCTCTCTCTCCCTTCCAGGTCAAGGAGTGGCACATCTTTGCTGTAACTCCCCTAGGGTGTTGTCCCCTGCACCCCGCTCCCACCTGGATAGCTAGCATCTTCCAAACCTCCTAATTAGAGTGTGCCATGTTTCCTGTGGCACCTGGCATGTCTGCACAGCTTGAGAAGCAAGCAGAAGAACCCTGGACTCATGAACGACACTTGGTGTTCCCTAAAGTGATCAGGAGCTTTATGCATTTGAAAAGGGGAAAATTATAGGACGAAAGGAAAAAGAAAGTGAAGGTAGTGGACCTAGCGGTGCTGACTGAGGAACAAACCCTCAAGGTGGAAATTAATTAATAAGTAATACCAGAACTTTTCAAAGTGATTTGAAGTTTTCCTGATTGAAAAGGAGAACTGAAAGAGAGAGAGAGAAGGAAGAAAGAGAGAGAGGCACAGAGGGAAACAGAGACAGGGAGGGAGGGAAGAGAACAGTAGACAGAGTGAATACACACAGTGAGAAGTCCCAAGTGGAATTCTAGAGACACAAATGCACTAGCAGATCTAATTCCCAAAAGTGATTTACCAAACCCAGAGAGCCTGTGGCCCACGGAGAGGACAGAGAATCACGAATTCATCAGCAATCGTGGAATTCTTTAAAATGTGCACTGTGTACGTGCACGTCCACATAGCTACACGTTTGGTCAGTCGCAACTCAGAATGTCAAGCACAGTGATTTTTCCAGACTGAGCTGCTGAAACCCGCCTGCAATTCAGAACCAGAGAGCAGCCGGTGGCCATGGCACTGGGTGCTGCTCTCTTTCCTTGGCAAAACTCCCCAACACAGAGCAAGTGACTGAAAACCAGAGAAGCCCCTGACGTGTCATAAGTTCCCCGAATACCAGAACCCGTGCTCTGCCGGCCACTTTCTAAGTGTCTGAGTGCCTAAATCCACCAGGCGTTGCTGTCTCTGCTGGCACTAGGACAACATGGCCGAGTGCTTGTGTCTGGATCTTGTGCCATCATTTGTCTTTTTCTCCTATGTAGTTTTTTTGTCCCCTGCATAAGATTTGTCTCCAAAAAAAAAAAAAAAAAAAAGGTGCTAGTAGAGTTACTCCTTCAGAGGGGAGGAGGTCGACTGTACAGTCCTACCTCCTTCTACCCCTGACACTGCAGCCCATGCAAGCAGACTCAGTGATCAGAGCTGGACGTCCTGTTCGCATGTCAGAGGGACAATTCTCCAGTGCCACAGAATTGATGGAGCACCATATGGTGTCACTGAGAAATGCCTTGCCAGGTTCTGACTATTGATTTATTTTGCCAACAATAAATAGGCCTTCAAGAGTGCCAGATGATACAGGGGGTTCCCATGACACTTCTTGGGAAGTTTTCTACCCAGATATGCCATATTTGATGGCTTTTTCCAACCTGCCAGCATGTTGTCACTCACAAATGTGAAAAACAACTGTGGCTGTGTGCGTGCCACAAACTTGGGCTCACTGTACAAGGCCAGCCTTGTGACGGCAGAATCTGATGTTCCCAGGGCACACTCCCCTTAACAGATGGGGGGGTTGCTGCCAGTGAGCTGGGAATTAAGCTGGGTTCTGATAGGAGTTTCTGGAGGCTGGCAGCACCAAGGCAGCAGGTGTCCACTGCTCTGGAGAAGAGAACTAGAGGCCTAACGGGACTGTGGAGGTTCCTCTTCCCCTGGACCCGCTGGTTTTGGGCTCTGGAAATCTG